CTTGTTTACAGACCTTAACATGTCTTCACTACCATGTTTATTGCAGCATCCATCCCAATAGCCAAGTCATGGAATAAAGAAAATACGGGACACATACACAATGGAATGCGATTCAGCCCTGGTGTGGTTTGGATCTAGAAAGTCCCCCAAAGGCTCATGTGTTGATGGCTTTGTCCCCAGTGCAGCAATGCTCAGAGGTAGGGCCCTTTGGAAATAATTGAATCATGAGAGTTTTGACCTCATCTATTGATGGATTAACAATTTGATGGCAATAATGGGAGGTGTTAGAAACTGTGGGAGGTGGGGCCTAGGTGGGTCAATGTGGGTGTATCCCGGAAGGGTTTATCTTATCCCTGGCCTATTTTCCCCATTCTCCTTTTCATGGCTACGATGAGGTGAGCAGCTTTCCTCTGCCACACCCTTCCGCCATGATGTTTCCATCTCAGAACCAGCCAACCATGGGCTGAAACCTCTGAAACCATGAGCCCAAATCAACCTTTCCTCCTCAATTGTTTTTCTTGGGTATTTTGTTGACTTTCTTCTTTTTAGTGATAAAAAAAAGAAAAATAGAAAAATGGATTGATTCTGTTGTCCATGAAGAGCATAAATAAACGTGGAGGAAATTGTGCTAAGTGAAATAAGCCAGGCATAGAAAGACAAGGTGTGCATGGCCTCACTTCAGGTGGAATCTAAAAGAAATCTAACGCATCCATGCAGAGAGTAGAAGGGTGGTTACCAGGGACTGGGAGCAGGGGAGAAAATGGGGTCATGGTAAAAAGAAAGAGGAAGAGGAGGGGGAGAGGAGGGAAAAGGGGAAGGAAAACAAAGCTCTGCTGGACCACGGAGAGCACTTTGTAGGTGCTGCTGTTCTGCACATGAGAGGTGCTCCACAGTGACTGTTCCCTTCGCTATCTCCACCAGGTGAGCTATAGGGAGCAGTGGCACTTGCATCCAGAGCATGTCTGGGCTCAAGTTAGACTTGAGAAGTGGCACTGGGGAACCACAGCAGTATAAGGAGCATGGGGGGTCTACAGGCTACAAGGCCATGAAGGAAGCTTTGGCTTGGCCTGAGTGATGGTTGAGGGTGAGGAGTAGGGGCCTAAATTGCTGCAGCAGGCCTTGCAAAGGGCCCCAGTCAACCTCACCCTGGGGGAGGGAGAGAAAGAGGCTGGAGCCTGCAGAATTCCTGAGAAAAACTGGACAATCAGGTTGGGCAGCTGACTGAGGAGTCACCATGGCCTTGGGGAGCTTCTAGAAGGCACAGGTCCTTTGTATCTGGCTTCCCTCCTCCTTGGTTGCCCAGGATGAAGGACAAGATGGAGTTTGCTCTGGAAAGGCCCCACTACTGGGAATTCCCAGCACAGCTCTTGGATCAACTCTGTTCCCAGGGATTCCTAGCATGTCCCCTGGCTTTAGCCAAGGGCCCTGAAGGCTGTTGGGAGGTGGTGGTGGCTGCACTGGGCCCTGCCTTCAGCAGCAGCTTCAGTAGGCTGGCAACATGGAAAGGCAGGGACGGCATGGTCAGAACACAGACTATGGTCCAGGCATCCTGGGAAGAACCTGCTTAGCCACTTTCCAAGTCTCTGGTCCCAGGTTGGGTATTTCTCTGTGCCTACCCTCCTGACTGGTAAGGGAGATGGGAGTTAACCACAATGTCTACTTCACCTGACTGTTGTGAGTTGCATGTGCCAAATGTTCAGAATGGTGTCCAGGATATAGCAAATGCTCAATTAATGTTGGCTACTATTAGTACTCCTTGGGGCCACTGGGCTGGGGAGGGGAAAGGAAGGTCTTCCAGCTGGAGCTGGCCAGATGGCTCCCAGGAGGCCAAGAGCAGAGTGAGAGCTTAGAGAAGACCTTTGTCTTCTGAGAAGGCCACTGGCAGAGCCAGCCCTGGTGTGGGCCTGGGAAGGGCACAGGTGACCTCCCTCTATCCCTCCTCCCATTGTCCTCGCCCCTGTCAGGAGTACAGAAGCTGGCTCTGACGCTGGGGTCCTGGAGCTCAGCCTGAGGGTCTTACAAGCCTGGGTTGCTCTGTGAGGTCATGGGACTCTCCACCTGAGCTTTGCTCCCTCATCTATGATATGGGGCTTAATGAATCAGCTCTTTGGGCTTGGGAAGTTCTGCCTGTTATCTTCTGTCCAACCTTGCCCTCAACCCATGCAGCTTCCCAAGATGTTCCAATGGACAAACAGACACTTGGCTCCATGTGAGTGGAGAGTTTATTCAGGAGCAGGGAACCCTGCTCAATCTTGTGTCCCATTGATTTGCACCTGATCAAGCTGCTCTGGCCTGGGAGGGTGGTGACGACTGTAGTGGCCAGGAGTCTCTGCTTGAGTGTGAGGGGCCAGGCATCCAGGGTGAGCTCAAGGCTCCCAGGGGCATCTCAGCAACCGGTGCAGGCGACATTTACACACAGCTCACAGTCATCATTGGCGATGGTCCCTGGGCAGGAAAGAAAGGCAGCCAGCTGACCCTAACCCTGAACCTGGAAGGTGGGTGGCCACAGGGGAGCTGCTGGACAGACTGCAGAGAGGGGCTGTGTAGGAGGAGACCCGGCACCTTCTTCACAGAATGGGCACAGGGAGCGTTGGAAGTAGTGAGGCTGGTCCCCATCCCAGGTGCTCTCCTTCCAAGCAGGGACTGGGCAGGGGACTTTGGTCTGTGCCCTTTTCTTGTCTGCTCCGTGGACAGCTAAACCTTTCAAAGGTACGTAGGAGGGAAGGTGGACAAAGGAGGGACGCGGGGACTGGCCCAGAACAGGCTCAGCAAAATGCCTGCCAGTCACTGTGTTCTGCTGCCTGGCTCTGCCTCATCCCTCTGCTGTCAGCTCAGCCACCATCTCCCCTTGGGAGCTTTTTGGACCCTTGTCCCATCAGGTGTGAGGACCGGGCCCTTCTGCTGCTCTCCCGTGCACTCACTGTGTGTTCAGGGGGCTGTTCTATGGGCTCTCTTCCCTCCCACCCAGGAAGGCTTTGAGGGACTCCCTGGGACTAAGGGGGCTCCTGGCCTCACTGTGCCCAGACGGGGGCCGTCCTGGGGCCGGGAGGGGGGTCGGGTACTTGAACCTCCCTCTCTGTAGCCACAGGAGCTTAACAGAAAGCACCTGTGGAGGAGGAGCTGGGATGGTGGAGGCGGCAGGAGGGGTGGGAGGTGTGCAGGGGTGGGGGCACCTACTCAAGGTCTGGAAGATACTGGCGGCTTCCTGGGAGGTGCAGACGGGCCGGAGGTCCTGGGGCAGAGCTGGGTGGTGGCACACCGAGGGCAGGAGGCTCTTGGTTTGCAGGTCAGGGCTGGGCTCCTGCTGCCCCTCCAGGGCGCTCAACTTCTTCACCGACTCCAGCTGGACCTCGAAGCCTTGGTACTGGGGGTGGGTGTCGGGGAGATGGGAGGAGGTCAGGCCTTGGACCAGGGCAGGCACTTGACCCCATAGGTCTTCTGGCCCCTTCCCTGTCTTGATGGAAAGTCCAGGACACACGGGAAAGGGCCACCTGGGTGGAGGAAGCAGCCCTTGGCTCCCCACTCTGCTGCTGGCCGTGAGGGCCTGGCGAGGTCTACACAGAGCCTTGGAGCGTGCTGGCTCAAGGCATGGATGTCAGAGATGAGGGCCCCTGGTTCCATTCCCAGCTGTGTTCTGGACTGGCTGACTTTCTCTTCCCACATCTGAGCCTCCGCTCCCTTATCTGACATTCCTTTAGGGATCCTGGTTCTGGGACATAATCACTAACAGGTCACTCTCCTTGAACTCACAGGGCAATAATGCCAACTCCAAGTTAACCAGAGGGACTCACCTTGATGAGGACTGACTGTGTGCTCTGCAGCAGAAGCAGGAGACCCACAGCTGCCCCCAGCAGGTGCCCCAACGCAGTCCTGCTGTCCATCTCTGTCCTTTTGTGTTCTCGCTGCTGCTGCTGTCCCCCTGGCTCCCACCGGCTTCCCTGGCTAGCAGCCTTTATAGGCCAAGCTCTAGAGCCCTGGTCACTCATTAACTGGCCATCTGGGGCGGGATTGTCAGAAATTTGGCTCTCTGACAAGCCCAGAGCTGGTTCCCAGGCAGGGGATTGGGGATGATGACCAGGGGACGCCCAGAGCACACAGGAACATGGTGGGGCTGGGTCAGCTGCCTGCCTGGGCAGGGTTCTCTGTGCAGGTCGCAGACCACTGCACTTTCCTCCACTCCTTGGTACCTGCAGGAGTGGAAAGACAGGGAGAGTAAGGTTCCTGAGATGAAGCAATTTGTCCCAGGTCTCAGACCTAACCAATGGCAGAGAGACTACAGCCAGCCCTTTCTGGCCCACGTCAGCCACAGTTCTTTCTCTGTGAAAGGTGCACGGGGGCAGAAGTGCCAGGACAAGGTGGGCAGATACAGCGCTAATGTCAGGGTGCTCCAGCCCTGACGCCCTCAAAACCACCACATCTCCCACTCCTCTCCCCAGTCCGTTGAAGGACCATCCTTCTGTCCAGGTCTTGCCCAGGCCTCTGCTTGCTGTCTCCTACCTGTGCCTGGTGCCCTTGGCGTCATGTGACCCATCTGTCCTGTCCGTCCCTTTCAGAACCCAACAGCCTAACCCAGCATGGAAGAAAGAGCACTGGGCTTGCGGCTCTGTGATCCTGGGAGTCTCATCAAGTCTGACTGAACCTTCATTTCCTCCTCCATCACGTGGACATAAAAAAAAAAAAAA